CCAGGCATCCCTTGCATTATCTCCTTTAATTCTCAACTATCTTATAATGTAAATTCTATTATCTCCACTTGACAAATGAGCAAACTGAAGCAGAGAAGTTAACAAATGTATCCAAGGTTGGGGCGCCTGGGTGGCTCAGTCGGTTGGGCGGCCGACTTCGGCTCAGGTCATGATCTCGCGGTCCATGAGTTCGAGCCCCGCGTCGGGCTCTGTGCTGACAGCTCAGAGCCTGGAGCCTGTTTCAGATTCTGTGTCTCCCTCTCTCTGACCCTCCCCCGTTCATGCTCTGTCTCTCTCTGTCTCAAAAAAATAAATAAACGTTAAAAAAGAAATGTATCCAAGGTTAAATAACTAAGAATTTTTGCAGCTGAGATTCAAACTGAACTATTAATCACTATCGACACTACAATAAATTGGTCCTTAAGTGAAACAATCAGGATTGGCCCCTAAGACACAGTACGTACTCAGTCACTATTATGGCAAATGTGTGCCTACGGAACCAACTGAAGTTCTTTTGAAGAGCGGCAGTGTTGGATAATGAGGCTTTGAAAACAGGAAAGTTTTTGTAGTACCTTTTTTGTAAAGTCAAAATTTCAGAGTTGAGTCCTTAAAAATTTAGTCACACTCACTCCTTTTTGCAGATGTGGAACTTAAGGCCAACAAACTTTGTGACTAACCCAAGGTCAAGAGAGCTGGTTAGCAGGACTGGATTGAACCCAGGTTTCTTGAATTCCTAGATCTTTGCAACGTACAATCATTTCATCATTCGACAAATACATGTGAAATGTCTACAAATTTGCAAGCACTACAAATTGAATAAGACCAGTCAAACCCCTATTTTAATTGTCAAGCATTTATAAAACGCTTGCCCTCATAGAGCTTATCATCTACTTTGCTCTTTTGGGTCACCCTCCGTCCTTCCTCACTCTTAGATACGGGATCAACTACTATTGAGTGGAAGAAAAATCAGACATGCCTTGGTTGTGAAAAGCAGTGCAAAAACTGCTGAAGCATGCATTCTGAAAACACACACAGCTGCCAGCCTCAACATCTTCCTTTATGATTATTTGACTGAAAGAATGAGCCCCGATTGTGGAAAATGAGCTGAGGGAGGGGAAAGGGAGTCACTTAGATTCAACTCCTGTTTACTTGGTGCATAACCTTGGGAGCCAGCTCTCATTCCTTGAGCCCCATCCATAAAGTGGGCTATGTCCCACAGCAAAAAATGGAAAGTCGCACCTGTAGGGCCAGGCAAATCAGATCAATGAGGGAAGTTGAACTGATGGAGACAAGGCTAGAGAACCACGTGCCATGTCAGAGGTGGCCTCTGCTTGGCTCCAACCAATGTGGAATATCTGATCTTTCTATTCTTCAGGAGATGACAGAATTCAGAAATTACCAGATTGCAGAAGAGGGGTGCTTGGGTGGCTCAGTCAGTTAAGCATCCGAGTCTTCATTTCAGCTCAGGTCAAGATCTGATGGTTCGTGGGTTTGAGCCCCACATTGGGTTCTGCACTGACAGTGCAGAATCTGCTTGGGATTCTCTCTCTCTACCCCTCTCCCACTTGTGCACTCTCTCAAAATAAATAAGCTTTAAAAAATTATAGAAATTTCCAGATTGGGGAATGGGGCAGGGGGAGGGACAGAGAGAAACACATTTCTTTTCCACCTTTTCATTATAAAAATTTGAAACACAGAAAAGTAAAAAGAATAGTTAGCATTTTGCCTTTTACCCATACACTTTCACCACAGCATGTCACAACTTTAGCATGCACCTCCAAAAATGGAACACTCTCCTTCATAACCATGTTATTATTACCACATCTAGAAAATAATTCTCAAATATCTAATGGGGGGGGAACCTAGGTGGCTCAGTCTGTTAAGCGTCTGACTCGATGTGGGCTCAGGTCATGATCTCATGGTTTGTGAGTTCGAGCCTGACTTTGGGCTCTGCGCTGACACTGCGGCGCAGCCTGCTTGGGATTTCATCTTTCCCTCTCTCTGCCCCTCCTCCATGAGTTCTCTGTCTCTCTGTCTCTCAAAATAAATAAACCTTAAAAACATAGAGGAGCATCTGGGTGGCTCAGTCAGTTAAGCGTCCAACTCTTTATTTCGGCTCAGGTCATGAGCTCAAGGTTCGTGAGATCGAGCCCTGTGTGGGGCCTGCTTGGGATTACCTCTCACTCTGTTCTTCCCCTGCGTACGCACGTGCTCTCTCTCTCTCCCAAAATAAGTAAACTTTAAAAAAATTTTTAAAAATATGCATATATCACCTAATAGGACTGAATATTCAAATCTCCACTACTATCTAAAAGATGTTTTTATAGGAGTTTTCTTTTTGAACCAAGATCCAGTCAAGGTTCACATTTTGCCTCTGGCTTCACCTCTTTATGGTTTTTAAGCCTAAAACACTCCCTTCCTTTGTTTTTTCCATGACACTGACTTCTGGAACAGAACCAGTACAGTTGTCTTATAAAATGCCCCCCATCCTGGACATCTTATCATTACCTCAATGTTCTTTAATCTGTTCCTCTGTTCTCTGAAAGCATGATTAGGCTAAAAGATATTCAGCAGGAAAACTTCACAGATAACACACTGAAGTTCTTATTTCACCATATTAGAGGGTGCATTGTTAAGAATCACTTCCAAAGGCAATAAATTTGTTTTTAATTTTTGTTTGAATATTTCCTTGGCCTTAGGGATTCTAAGTCATTAAGTATTTTTAAATGAAGTCAATTTCTTGCTTTTTTAAAGGTTTTATTTTTAAGTAATCTCTACGCCAACTGTGGGGCTTGAACTCACAATCCCAACATCAAGAACCATATGCTCCACTGACTGAGCCAGCCAAGCACCCCAATTTTTGTCTCAAATTCAGCCAATTCTCTGGATTTTCAAATGTTGGCAACTCATTTCAAAAATTTTTAAACACTGTATGAAAGATACAGCCCAATTTTTAACTGCTAGACCCTATGAATTCCCTGGAGGGCCCTTTTGGTTATTACTCTCCTTTTCAGTTTTCTGATAAACTTGGTCCAAACATCACGCAGAATCAGCAACAAAACGGTTGCCAGAATGTAGTCGGCCATTTCCTAGGCCACCTTCCATTTCACATTTCCAGGTCTTCAGAATTCTATTCCACCTGGAATTTCCTTAGAGGCAAGTCAATTTGCTTTGTGCAGCCTCTTTCTTGTCTGTACAGGGGGAAATCACTGCTCTTCCTACTGCAGAGAGCTGCTATGAGACTCAGTTGAAAAATGTACATGGGGGGGCACTCGGGGGGCTCAATCAGTTAAGCATCCGACTTCTGCTCAGGTCACGATCCCGAAGCTTGTGAGTTGAAGCCCCGCGTTGGGCTCTGTGCTGACAAGCTCAGGGCCTGGAGCCTGCTTCGGATTCTGTGTCTTCCTCTCTCTGCCCCTCCCCCCCACTTCAAAAATAAATAAACGTTAAAAAAAATGTTTAATCAAAAACTAAAATAAGTAAAATAAAATGCAAATCTGCTCCAGTGACTCCTATGCTCAAAACTTTCCCATGGGTTTCTCGGAATAAAAAAGCTACACCTCGGGGCACCTGGGTGGCTCAGTAGGTTGAGCCACCAACTTCGGCTCAGGTCATGACCTCACAGTTTGTGAGTTCGAGCCCCGCGTCGGGCTCTGTGCTGACAGCTCAGAGCCTGGAGCCTGCTTCGGATTCTGTGTCTTCCTCTCTCTCTGCCTCTCCCCCACTCATGCTCGCTCGCGCGCTCTCTGTGTCTCAGAAATAAACATTAAAAAAAAAAATTTTTTTTTTAAAGCTACACCTTATTTGCTTCCAACCACCTTGCTTCTTTGCTTCTCTCTCTCATTTGCCAAGCACGCTCTGGTCTCCAGAATTTTACCCTGTTTTCTCTCTCCTAGCGAGCTTCTTCCATATGGTTCTTTTCCTTCATACAGGTCTGTGGCTCAATGAAGGCCTCTCCAGAGGCCTTCCCTGGCCTCCCTATCAAAATAGCTCTCCCACCTCAGCATCCTTTAAAGATCCTCTTACCCTGCTTTATTTCTCTCTCAGCACTTGCACTGCCTAATATGTTATTTACGTTAATTGCTTCCCCCACCAGAAACGCACGCTCCATGTGGGCAAAGGATGCAGCTCGCTAATATTCGCTAAGCGCCAAGAAAAAGCCATCGTGGCAGGTACTTAATATTTGATAAAACCAATCAACCCTTTCGAAGACCTCATTCCCCCCGATAACTACCCCATACCCAAGGTATGCCCAACCTTAGCGCCCAGTCCTCTCGAGACACACCCTCATACCTAGGCATGAGCAACCTCTTCGTGCACCTCCAACCCCTGGCCTCCCCGAGCTCCTCAAGATTCCCACTTGAAATATGTTGCTCCAAAACTCCTCAAATACCCTCCTCCTTTCATAGCGGCCCACCCTTTCGAAGCCACAAGAACGTAAATTCGCGCGCGTTCGGTTCGCCAGTTCCCCCCAGCGTCCAAGAGATTCCCACAATCCACGAATGAATGAACGAAGGACGCCCCCCCCTTCATCCTCCCCCTGCACGGCCGGCCCCTCCTCCTCCCTAAGCACCCCCCCCC